TTTGGCCATCTCATGAGAAGAGAGGACTCCCTGGAAAAGACCCTGACGTTGAGAAAGTGTGAAGGCAAGAGGAGAAGGGGACGACAGAGGACTAGATGGATGGAGAGTGTAACCGAAGCTACCAGCATGAATTTGACCAAACACACGCGCACACACTCCTCACTCCCTCCATTTTGTACATACATTTAAACACGCTTGATGGAGTCACACATTCCTTCCCTCCTTAACCTGGAGCCTTTCTCTCCTGCTTGCAGTCACCTTTGGGTGGAAGCAGTCATTCACAAGCCCTGGATTGACTGCCGGGAGCTAGCTGTAACCAATCACGCAGGCTTATCTCCGATCTCTTAAAGAAGGAGTGTTGGAACCAAGGAAAATAGCAGGAAGAGGTGGCTGACGATGGTGCAGTTTGAGATTCGGCTGTGGGGGTGGGTAGTGTGGGGTAGTGCTCTCCTTGTGTGCCAAGGGAGACGTCTCCGCGTGCCACAGGTGGCACATGTGCCATAGGTTTGCCATCACTGCTCTAGCTAGTTTTGGCTCAGAGTCAGCAAGGGGTAACTTTATTCCTTTTGTGCTCTAAAGTTATGACTATGTGGGCCCTGTAATGATAGAAGAAAATCACTGTTTTTCAAGTACAGTGGGGTCTTGACTTGAGAACTTAATCCGTATTGGAAGGCGGTTCTCAAGTCAAAAAGTTCTCAAGTCAAATCTGCATTTCCCATAGGAATACACTGAAAACCATTTGGTCCGTATCTGCTCTTTTCCGTCCATAGAAACTAATGGGAAGCTGCTATTCCGCCTTCGACCACTAGAGGGGGATATTTTGTTTCTTTTTTTCTTAGGTCAAGAAAGGTTCAGGGTAGGCAGGGAAAAGACAGTCCAGGCAGTACAGTACCAGGCAGTCCGAAGACTGTCTCCCAATCCACTCTCTAAACGCTGGGAGGAGTGAGGAAGCAGACAGGCACCCTTTTCACTGGCCAACAGTTAACTGAAAGTTCACATTTTGCACTTTCCCTGCCTCCCATGTGGTTTTTTTCAAGTTCTTAACTCAAATCTAAGTATATAAGTCAAGTCAATATTTTCCTATGAGAGTGGTTCTTAAATCAAAATGTTCTTAACTCGAGCCGTTCTTAAGTCAAGACCCCACTGTACTATGCCTTGTGCTGCTGCCTCATGTTCTGTTGTGGCAACAATGAGAGGAACAGGAGATGTGTCTTTTATACTGCAGAATAGAGGTTTGTAGCATTCAGAGGCCAGAATCCAGCTGGTGATTTACACTTATGCAAGCAAATATAAGTATGGTGGCATATTGCCATTAATTAAGACAACTGCTGATTATGTGCCCAAGAACAGAATAATCACATTGTTAATTAAGAACAATTTGCTGCTATGACTTCACTCAAATACAGTGGTGCCTCACTAGACAGTTACCCCATATGACAGGGTTTTTTTTGCTAGACATTGGCTTTTTGCGATCGCTATAGTGATTCGCAGTACAGTGATTCCTATGGGGGAATTTCGCTGGACAATATTTGGTCCGTTTCGCAAACCAATTTTTGCTAGACAACGATTTTGTAAGCTCCCTCCGTGCTCACAAAACGGGTGTTTTTGGGACCTAAACTTCGTAAGACAGCTATTTAAACAGCTGATTGGTGGTTCGCAAAGCGGCTTTCCTATGGCCGATCTTCGCTAGACAACAACGATTCTTCCCCATTGGAACGCATTAAACAGGTTTCAATGCATTCCAATAGGGAAATGCTTTCCACTAGACAATGGTTTCGCTAAACAGCGATTTCAGTGGAACAATGGATTATCATCGTCTAGCAAGGCACCACTGTACAAATTATCAATTGGATTGTCCCCAATGTATTTTTTAAAAAAGTAACTAAACTATTTTAATTACTTTAATTACAGCCAGTATTACACTGCAGATAAATTTATTTGTGTAAGAATCCAAAATGCACTTACATTGGCTTCATATCCACAGGACTCAAATATAAGTTTTTCTGGCTGGTGCTGCCAGTGTTGAACAGGGGCATAAGGAGCTGCCAGACTTGGGGGTCTGAGTGTAAGTTTTGATTCTCGGCGTTCCTCCTGAAAACACAAGTCACAGATTCTGGTAGAATCATGTCATGGAGTACTACTTTATTTATATTTATGTTTCGAGGATACATGTTAGATAGCATCCATCTCAAGACATTTATTTAAATATTTGTATACCACTTTTCAAAATGCTCCAAATGGTTTTGAGTGGATGCTAATGTATTGTGCCTTGCCTTGCTGCAGAGTGACATTAATGGAAGACAAAACGTTTCAGGGAGGTAAGTTCTCTGACCTGTGTCTTGAGTCTCTCTGTTCGAGGGTAAGATGCAGTATCATGGCTGCTCTCGTGTCTCCTCTTTCCAGCATCTCCCAAAGGTAACAAGAGCTCTGCAGACCTCCCTGTACAAGAGTCACTCTGGCTCAATGGTGAGGAAGTCTGGGATATCAAATCCTGGCACTGTAATCAAAATTACAATTTACATGTGGTTGGACAGCTTCAGAATATGTTTGCAAACCATGAAGAAACATTAGAGGACAAGCTCGTACTAGCATGACTGTTAAAACCAACAGAGAAATGTTGATTACCTAGTTAATATTCATGCTGAAGAAATCTGCTTTCAAATATAAAGAACAATAGAAAAAGGTTGTTCTCCGAAAACACAGGCTGAGGACTTGATCAGTAGCACAATGTGCACTGATCTGGTGATGCATTTGAGATATTATGTAAGTCTAATACAGAGTATGAATCACACTAGGACTCTCCCCAATTCAGACTGGCAGTCAGCTATGAAGCATTAGCAGCTGAAGGTCTAAGACTGACATCCAGCCAGCAAACTTCTTACAACATTTTAAGGTCATCATGTGAAAAAAAAAGCTTTTGTAACTACAGTGAAAAGAAGGACAGGATTCTTTCTGGATGGAAGTAATTGCTCTTTAGCCTTAATGAATAAAAAAACTTAAGTTATCACCAGTAACACCGGACATATTTATTTCCCATGTCAGCTATAGCCCTGTCTATAGAAACAAGTTATTTGACATCAAATTGCTTCTGACTTACAATAACCCCAAACTGAGTTTTCAACGTACATGAGATGTGCAAGGAGTGGTTTACCACTGTCACCCACCAGTGTTTTCACAGTCCAGTGGGGGTTTGACCCGAGATCTCCTGAGTTCCAGTCTAACATTCTGTTTACTACACCAGTGGTCCCCAACCTTTTCTGAGTCGCGGACTGATTGGGGTGGGTGGGGTCCATGCGTGGACGGGTGGGGTGCACTCACATGCATGTGTGGAGGGGTGGGACACGCTCATGCGCATGTGCGGAAGGGTGCGTGCACACTCACAAAGGGGCACCCGTGTGTGCAGGTGGCGGGCCGTGCGTGTGGGTGGGGGGAGTGCATGCGGGGGGGAATCTGTCTCCATGGCCTGGTCGTGTCATGGCCATGGACCGGCACGGTGCCACAAACTGGGAGTTGGGGACCCCTGCACTACACCACAGTGGCTCAAATTATGTCCTATCAATTCTGACTTACAGTGACCATCTCAGCATTTTCTAGATACAAATATTCAGAAGGTTTTTTTTTCTGGCAGCACTGTGGGACTACATAGCATGTCCAAAGCTACACAGGCTGTTTTTTCTGCCAGGAGGAAATGTGGGAAATTGAGCTCCTCACTCCTGGGCTCAATGAGCAGGTGCCCCAAGCCACTGAGCTATCCAGCCTGCACAATACAAAAATAAAGTGCCAAATTAGGCTTGTTTCATACATTATGTAGGAAGCCTCAGTCAGTTCCAATTCCTTAATGAATGCATAACATCTATTTGCAAATGCATCACTCATATTCTGTATTTTACATGGTTTAAATGTCTAGTGCACATAACATACACAAGCACACAAAGTAACATGACAACGGCCTAAATAATAAAGGTTTTTGTTAAACAATAGAACTATAATACATAGTACAGATGAGACTCATTTCTCCACTGTTGTGCCAATGCTAGAGAGAAGTTGCCAAGGCTTACTCCCTCTCTTAATGTTTACATCTGCTTTACCCATTGCATGATAAAAGGGTGATTTGAAATTGTGCTGCACAGTAATCTTTTTCATTGATTGTCCCATGATGAAGAATGGGATACAACTATCACTGCAATAGGGATGATAATGGGCTCAAACTCTGGCTGAATAATTTTGCAATGATCCTCTGGATTTTACACTCAGAAGTAGCTAATGTGCCATATGTGCTCCTGCAGGAGGCTATGTTCCATTTCAAAAGGCTATTCAATAAATATTGTCAATGAAACAAGAGTCTGTTGATACTGCAATTATCACACAGTTGTAAGATCTTCTTACCAAGACAAAGACTACTTATGAGGGGGACTGACAGGCAATAAAGCATAAAGCACCAGTGAGGTAATAAAATGTATGAACAGATAGTGCAATGCCTTGGTATAAGAGGGCTGCATGATAGTTAGGAGGCTATCACTTCAGATATTCCTGACAACCTGTTTCCTTGATGTTCTTGAAGTGAGTGGTTGACTCTCAAAACAAACTTATCAGCCTGTAGATATGACCCCTTTGGATGGTTTGGTTGAGGCTCAGCTTCTGAAGCCAGCAAAGTACATTCTGGGTTTTGCTACAAAATATTCTTTATGTAATAGAAACCAGCATGAGATTCAAGGGCCTCCTTGGTATTTAATTTCATGTATTAAACCAGCTGTACCCAACCTTTTCAAACCGTGGACCAGTTGGGGAGGCCAGAAGCATCCGTGGGTGGGTGGGCGGGGCACACATACACACACACACGGGTGGGTGGGAAACTCATGCACGCATGTGCAGGTGGGTGGGGCACCCATGCACACGTGTGGGTGGGCAGGGCACCTGTGCGTGCTTGTGTGCATGTATGGGAGGTGTACATGCAGGAGGCAGGAGGTCTGTCTCTGTGGCCCAGTTCTGCCAAGGTCATGGCCCCGTAACAGGCTGTGGACTGGGACCCCAGTATTAAAAGACTGTTTTCAACTCATGATCATTTAATTGTGTCAGTCCTGCAGCTTTCACTTCACCTGCTGCCACTTCACATACTCGGTGACGTCATTCTGTTGTACATTTATGGCCTTTTTGTCAAAAGACAAAACAAAACTGTGCTTTGACTACATTCGTATGTATTTTAAAAGTCAAACCAGTACTTTTTTCATTGGCTTCAATATATATTTTTAGGATTCATCGTATAATCAGTTGCATATAACCATTAGATAAAAACTATGCCACTATTCCGAATCAGTTTGCTTGGGCATATCAAAACTGTGGGCACGGTTATGTATAAGGTATTATATGCACAGATCTGTAGCAAGCTGCTTTTTATTGTTACAAGTTTTCTTTTGAAGAGGAAAGATCATGAAACCATGTGTCACATAACTATTTAGCGAGCAGAGGCAGAAATGCATATAGCTAGCCTGTGGTACATTGTACTCATTCAAATACAGACCACTATCTTAACCTGCAGGCTGGCTGGATAGTTCAGCGGTTTAGGTTTCTGGCTGCAGAGCCAGAGGCTGGGAGTTGGATTCTCCCACTGTGCATCTTGCCAGCCTGTGTGGCTGTGGGGAAGCTGCACTGTCCTCCCCCAAAATAATTTTTCCACTTTTACATTTATGTAGTGGCATGTGTTCAATGTTCTCCCCTCCAGTCCAAGAAGAGAAATTTGGTTTTCTTAATTAAATGCTAACTGAAGAACAAGAAGCCAGTGTTCTTTGCCAACCAAAGAAGAGGAGCCTCGTGGCACAGTGGTTAAACTGCTGTACTGCAGCCACAACTGTGCTCACGACCTGGGGTTCAATCCCAGGTAACCGACTCAAGGTTGACTCAGCCTTCTATCCTTCTGAGGTCGGCAAAATGAGTACCCAGCTCACGGGGGGAGGGGGGAATGTGTATCCTGTGTAATTAACTTGTAAACTGCCCAGAGAGTGCTTGAAGTGCTATGAGGCAGTATATAAGCAGCACACTTTGCTTTGCTTTACCAGTTGAGCCAGGATAGTGTAAAATAATAACAGTGACTCACTCTTAGCTGAGAGAACCGTGGTGGTTTTTGTGGGGGTTCCTCATATGGTCTATCTGCTAGGGAAGCTATTATACGCTTGCGATGGCCAAGAAGATTTACTTTCAGCACCTGCAATAAAGGAACGTTAGGTTTTTTTAAAAAAAAAAAAAACTATTATAAAGGTTTTGCTACATTGTGGCATCTCAATATGAAGCCAGAACTTTAATACAAAAGGATCTGACTGTTGATGTTAGCTAGAGCTCAGTCCTATGAGCAACTTACATTTACTAGTTCAAGTTCCCAAAGGTTTTTCACAGAGTCTATAGAGCTGTAGCCACTTGACAAAAATGATTGAATGTAATCTTGTAGCCCTAGGGAGTCCAGCCAAGCAGGAACAGAAGGCTGAGTCCCATCACATCCCAGGGATTTCACCTGCAGACAGTGGAAGAGAAAAGATAAATGAGATCAAATACTTGCTCTTCCTAACGTCCTAACAGAAAAAGAGGAACTGAAAGGAAGATGGAGGAGGTGGAGCCTATATACCCTGGGGGGGAGCTAACTGACTCTTTTTTTCTATAGCTCTAGAATCTTCCAAATGTCCTGTGCAGGCGCCGGATTAGCCCAGTTGTGTGCATTCACAGAGACCACTACGAAGTAGCATCTGTTTACACTATGCAAGATTTTCCAAGAGAAAACAAGCGGAGCTAAGTCACTGAGACTAACTATAAAATACATCTAACTAAATATCAGTAGCCCTTCACCAGGGGGAAAAACTGTGGGGATTGAGCACAGAATTTAGAATACAGAAGCAAAGAGAGGAGCATTTCGAGAAGTATTTAGTTTTCTCTAAATCACTTCAGTAGTTCCTTTCCTTAAAGAAAAAAAAAGTCTGCCTATGTTTTCCTATTGTCAATGGTTCCCTTAAAGGTGAGAGGTCAAAGTGAGCCAAGACCTTATAAAGGATATTTCAACAATCCTTAGATCCTGGTCTCAGCTCAATTTGGTATGACTTCCTGTAAGCAATTGTCTTTGGGTTTGAAGATAAATTGGTCTCCCTTGGCTTAATGGAGGTAGGAAAGAAAAGGCAGGCCAGTCTGACAAAGAAAGAAAGAATGGAAATGGATGTATAGTTTGCCCAGTTTTGGTTCTGTCCCTACTTAATATTGGCACTTGGCTACTTGATTGATTATATCTGAGGAAACATATTCCTCAAAGAAAATAAAGTTCTCCACTCTGATGTAAAAGTTGTCTGATATCAACATATCCCAATTCTGAACATTAGTGACAAACTGCCCATTGTGTATATGAGTGGAACAATAAAAAACCTAGAATCTTTATATAAGAATCCATTTGTTGGATTCAGGAAGTTAATAGAAAATGCATACAGAAAGAATTAAAAAGGCATGGAAAACAGATCTTTATCTATAAAAAAATTCCAATTGGGAAATTACGTGGTCAATGTTGCTCTTTAAATAAGTCTCTGATTACTTTCATGAGAATGTACTAAAATTATACACCACTGACATTTAACTCCTGTCAAATTAAATAGACCAGATGGACCAGGTCTGGTCAATTGCACTCAGTGAAAAATCAACATGTAAATAAGAATATCAAAAGGATTTTAAATAGGAGAAAGATTTGTGCAAATTTTGAGTACTTTCTCGAATAGATTAGTAATCTTTGCCTCCATTAGACCACAGCAAGATAAGCTCATATTCTCAAAAGATGTTTTGTGAATCTTTATGCAGTTGATGTTTTGTTTATAATCAGTTTATTTCATATTCAGTAACAGATTTTTAATTGTGTTCTGTTGACCTCCTTGCCCCATTTAGATGGAGTTTAGTTTAGTTTAGTTTATTTGATTTATACCCCGCCTATTTGGCCCAAGGGACCACTCAATTCAGGTATTTCACTTTTCAAAAGCAGATCACAGTGATCAAGCAAACCAGTGCTGCTAGGTTACTATTTGAATCTATTGAAAGCAAATGGTTTTTGAATTCAACACTAACATTGCTATTCTAGGAGTCATTTCATTCAAATGCAACCTTAATGCTTCATTAACTATGAAGTACAGGAGTACCATTTGGAAGCACCCTTTATTTCCAACAATAGAATTAGATAAAGGAAGTATTTACTATTGTATGTAATAACAGAAATATTTATTTTATTTATTTATTTATTTTATTTGTATCCCGCCTATCTGGACTACCAGACCACTCTGTACTTTTATTCTTAGGGAACTGCAGTCTGAACACAAACTATCTTTTTTTTTGTACTTAGCAAGTACTTAGCCTCTTTCTATTACCAGCCCAATTATTACCTTAAAATCATGGTTTTATCACAGGTCAATGTAAATCCCTTCACAATGTCTGAACTTTCTCTGGTGGAATCCTCTAGTCTGCAAATCTACCATTTACTTGACTGTTGTAATTAATATATTTTCTGGACATTGCTACAGAACCACTATTTAGAACTTTCTGATTCAAATATATAACTAAAAATAGTGTTCTACATTTGTTATTAGGCTCAACATTTCTAACTCATATTATAGTGGCAGAACATAGTTATTTGCTTCTTCTCCTGTAAAATGACCTGCCCATTCATAATTATAAAATTAAGGTATTAGAATACTACTTTAACTGAGTTTACATGTGGAAATATGTACTATTTTGACCTTAGGAAGGGAGCGTGCAGCCTGGAGAAGTTTCCTGCGATGCTGTGGGTCACTAATACCAATTTCTCGAAGGTCCTGATCCTCCATGACATTATAGCCCTGCAGGAAGACAAAAGGCAGACATGAGAAGAAGGCATGATAGTGGCAAAGAAATGAAGTACAGCATATTGTATACCAATAAAAATTGTTTGTGTTCTACAGTTCTGCATAAACACTGTGCAAATAAGGAATCTGGTATTTGGCCCAGAATTCAGCATCCTGAGAAATCCAACTTTTAATGTCGTTTCTTAGTTCTTCTGGCTATAAAAGATAGCCATGGTGTTTATGCAGAACTATAGAAACATAGGCAGACCTGCAGATATACTGTATGGAACCACACAAAATGCCTAAGTTATAGAAACATAGGCAGACCTGCAGATATATGGAACCACACAAAATGCCTAAGCAGCTGGGGAGAAGCTCTATTTCTAGTGGTAAGGATTCATTTTTTCTACAGAGCAGCAGAATTATGCAGACAGTGATATTTTCATAAAATATAGTGATCAGAATTCAGATTTCCTTGGCACAGAATATGGGTTACATTAATACAGAATCATTCAATTAATCACAGCTTAATTTTCAACTCTGATTTGAGAATGGGAAACAATACGGGAATTGTTAAGATTAAACATTCACAGTTGCTGGCTAGCTCATAAACTCTAGATTTATTCTCAGATACTTGTTTATGCAGTGTTAGTCCTGAGTTGTAGAAAAATCTAAAGGAGATGTGCAGATGTCTTAGGCACCTTCAGGCTAGCATCTGTGACATATTTTAATGTACTAAATATACATCAAGCGTTTCTATTAAACTGTTTAAGGCTGCTTATAGTTTTAATAGCTTACAATATAAGAGAGATGAAACAAAAGAAGAAAGGAATGAAAATAAAGATATTCAGATATCAGTTTTTTCATACTATTGCATAAAGAAATTGCATAATGACCAAGCAATGATTCCTGTAGGAGATGGTTATGTAACAGCCAGTGTCAAACAGTAATTGGTCCCAGGAAAAGTCAGCAGAGAAGGATTTACTGCGTCATGTCTACTGGTGCACCCAGGTGGACACGATGTGATGATCAGCTATTCAACTTTCTTTCTCTTATATCAGGGAGCAATTTCTAGCAATTCTTTGCTAAACATTATTTGCTAGATCTACAGCCATATATATACCTGACAGCTCAAGGGCACATCCATGTCCATGCTGTGAATAACAAACTTGTCCCAAGCCTTCTTCTACAATGCACATTGACTTCCATTCCTCAGCTGCACTGAAAAAGCCACAAACTCATGTGTTCTGGAGTCTACTTCCACCATTAGCTGTACTGCACCTCTTTCCATCCAATACATTTTAGCCAAGTGATTTACATGACCTTCCCACTTCATAGATGCTTGCTTTCCTCAGTTATCCCTCTGATCACAATGTAACAACCTAGTATATCCAGATGAAGCCTCAGCTGCCTGGCCTTCTCTTGTTAGTGCACTGCACTGCATTCAGGGATAGCTCATCTTTGCCTGAACTCCACTGAGGTTCAAAGAAAGAAAACTGGTTTTATTTTAGAGCACACTAGCAATCCAGGGAAGGTCAGTATCACCATAATTTATCATACGTCTCCAAAGAAATGAAAACAACCACCTCTTTCCAGAGAAACAACTTTCATAATTAAACATCACAAAGCTCATTACTCCCACGTATGAAGTGTACAAGAATAAATGAGTACACGGTACTAATGAAACCAATGCTCAATACGTATTTTACTATATACCATTTTATTAAATAAAGGATAGATCCAACTGGGACCTCCTGTTTTTCTCCATGCATACATTTGTAGTAATTAAGTGCTAAAACTGATTCTCAAAAGATAGCTGAACAGGTCAGTTAGACTTCTCATACCTCTGCATGAGAATGGAAACACCAAAATGCAAAACCATCATCAAGGTAACTGACATCTTATTATTTTATACTACTTCTTCAGAAAAAGGAAGCTACCTTTTATGACTTCCCCCTTTTAAAGTTCAAGGATAAAATTTAGAATAAATTAACTTTTTCTAACAAACGACTCTTTGGATATGCACTAAAAATCCTTATATACATGCTGTTCTACATATGTTGATAGAACATAAACACAGAAGGTTGAATTACTGGTATTATATTAAGTATTCAATACATGACGAGATGGTTGGACAGTGTCATCGAAGCTGCCAACATGAATTTGACCAAACTCCAGGAGGCAGTGGAAGACAGGAGGGCCTGGAGTGCTCTGGTCCATGGGGTCACGAAGAGTCGGACACGACTGAACGACTAAATAACAAAATTCAATACATAGCTTGGAGTCTGAATATATGCAAGAGCATCTCTTGTCACATGAACTTGCAGGTCAATTATGATCACTTCTGGAGTCTCACCTCATGTTCTTCCACCAAGAGAGGAAACAAGAGATATGACCTTTTTGACGGTATTGTGCTGGTTCTAGAATCTCTCCCTGATTATTTCCAAATAGGCAGTTAAAATGATTTTATTCTGCTAGACTTTCAATATATGTTAACTGTGCCAGCTATTAGTCCTGCTTTTGTAAGTTTCTGTGTGGTTTTTAGCATCGTGTATTAAGATTTAGGGGGGAAAAATTATCGCCAACTGCCTTGAGGACACTCTGGGACCAAAAGGTAGAGATAAGAAATAATTTAAGAAGTGTCATACAATATGAAATTCCTATGCTATGCCAGCTGTCAGCATATTTAAGCAATAACAACTGAAGGGGCAGAAGGAAGAATACCTCAGTTATCATTCCCCTGAGTTTATTCCCAATGCGCCACTATCAATCATGAGAAACTGCACAGGATAAATCAACCTTTGTGAAGACAGCTTGCTATAAACATAGCAATAAAATACTGGAGACTATTTGAAAGTGAATTTGTTGTCTGCTGAATATGTGAGACAGATCAATTTTTTTAAGACATGGAATGGCAGCAGTAATAGCACTCTGTGAAGTAAGCCAGCGTACACTTGGTATGAGCACAAATATCACAGCATGGTGATTGTTCATTGCAATTTATGAATTTTACATGGTATGCTGTTTTTATAATTTTTAGGGACAAAGAAATATAACAATGAAGTAAAAGAGAACAGCAAAAGAGGAAACCTAAGAAATCTCTTTCAGAAGATTCAAGAAATCAAAAGGAAATTTAAACCTAGATTAGGAATGTTGGAAGACCAACTGGGGAATATACTTTGACCAGGAAAAATATAGAAAAGGTGGAAACAGTACACCAAACAAATATACAGAGGAGATGCAAGAATGACAGATTCCTCTGAACACAAAGTGGAGTGAAAGCTGCTTTGAAAGCAATTTGAAGAAATGAATCACCAGAGTATATGGAATATTAACAGATCTATTCCAAGATGCAGAGAATGAACCTGTCAAAATTATAACAAGAATGTGCCAACAAATATAGAAAACAAACTGGAAATATTCAATGTACATCCAAATTCCCAAGAAAGGAGATGCCAAGAAGTGCAGTAACTGCATTAATTTCACATGCAAGCAAAGTGGTACTAAAGCTATTGCACAAAGATCTTCCCCCTATATGGAGTGAGAAATCCTTAGCATTCAAACTGGATTCTAGAAAGCAAGAGGCATTTGAGAACATATCACAAATGTATGTTGGTTATAAAAGTGCACCAAAGAATTTTAAAAGAAGATCAGTCTGTGCTTCATAGACTACAACAAAGAGGGGGTGCTGATAAGTATTGAGCCTTTCCCAGAAAAAATTGAGCTAGGAAGCTATAACTGCCACAGTTACTCCCTCGAGGAAATCAATGCACTTGCGACATCTGTCCTGCAGCTTCTTAAGTCCCTGCAAATAAAATTCTTCTGACTGCTGGTGTAAGCACTCTTTTGCAGCATTAGTTGCCTCCAGAACACTCCCAAATCATTGTCCCTTTAGGTGTTTTTTGAGTTTGGGGAACAGATAATGGTCAGAAAGAGCCAGGTCGGGAGAATAGGGTGGATGGGGCATCACTTGAAAGCATAAGGACATCAGTTTTGCCATTGTTTCACCTGCACTGTGTGACGAGGTGTTGTCATGCAACAGGATGACACCTTTGAAGAGCTTTCCTTGATGGTTTTCCTTGATGTTTTGCCTCAACTTTGTCAATAAAGCACAGTAATATTTTGCACTGATGGCTGAACCCTGTTGGAGGTAGTCCACCAGCAGAAATCCCTTCTTATCCCAAAAAACTGTTGCCATTTGCACCCACCTTTGCACTCGAAACTTCTTTGGCCTGGGGGAATCACTGTGCCTCCATTCCTTAGACTGTTCCCTTGTCTCAGGATCATAACAGTAGATCCATGTCTCATCACCAGTTATCAGTTTGCCCAGGAAATCTTGCAAAACGTTCCAAAACAGCCACCAATGACTCCACATGTTTCCTCTTTTGTTTGGTTGTCAAAAGCTTGGGGATCCACTTTGATGCCAGCTTTCTCATTTCCAAGTCGTTGTGGATAATGGCACCAACTCTCTCATGTGATATTCTCAGATATATAGCAATACTTTTGGCTGATATTCGGCAGTCCTCCATGATCATGTAATGGATGGCTTTCACATTTGCAGGCACAGAGACAGAAACAGGCCTTCCACTGAGTTTCTCACTTTCAATACTGAAATAGCCAGTTTAAAAATTGACAACCCAACGTTTAACTGTTGCATATGAAGGGCCACTGTCACCCATAGTTTGTGACATTTCATCATGGATCTGCTTTGCACCTTTCCCTTGGAGAAACAGGAACTTGATTATGTTCCTATGCTCTTCCACATTGAACTTTTCTGGAGGTGCTGCCATGTTCACTTTGGACTTCAACATGAAAGATAAGTTAAAATCATAGGTAGCTGATTTTTGCACCATTGAATACAGACAAATTGGCCAATACATCCTGCAATTTATAGCTTCCTAGCTCAATTATTTCTGGGAAAGGCTCAATACTTATCAGTACCCCCTCGTATCATGAAAAACAACTGGTTGTTCTGAAAGAAATGGGTGTGCCTCAGCACATGATTGTCCTGATGC